ATGTTTTGTATGAGGTAGTAGGGAGTTATCATTTGAGGACCTTTCTGTGGCTATTTGGAGGGTTTTAAGGTTTTTCCTGGCAAAGGAATGCTTTCTTTTCTTCTCGAAAATGGAAAGCAAAGCACATGCCTGCAGACTGCCTTTGGTGCTCAATTGCCATCTGAATTGCATGTGGATTCTCTCCTGATCTTGTTTGGAGTTAATAAGGAGACCCCCACATTGTGCAGAACTTGCTTTTCCATGCCAGGATTTTGCACAACACAAAATGCCCCTTGGGGGCCTGGTTCCCATGAAAGAAAACTTGTGTTTTTAGATGAAATTGGGCACCTCCTCCTGAGCGGGCTAGGCAGGGGTTACAAGAAGGGTCCTGCACATCCCTGGATGAGCTGGGCTGCTGCAGGCAGGGCCAGGCAGCGTGTGCCTGCGGATCCTCCCTGGGCAGCGGGCGCATCCCAGCAGGACGGGCGCAGGGAACCCGAGACGGGTGTTGATGGCACCGGCTGGGCCCCCCATGCCCATCTGGGCAAGGAAAGGATGAGCGATGAGCTGGCGTGAGCCTCCTGCGTGCAACACATCCCCATCTCCATCGCGGGCGTTTTTTTTTTCCTCCTCTGTATCTAGTCTCATGACTTCTCAATTTTGCACAAATCTTTCAAGATATCTTTATGGTCTGCAGTTATTTTGCATCTGCAAACCCTTGTTTCTGTGATTTAAGCCCTTCTCTGTCCCCCATGTCTCCCATGGAAGATGCTGCTACTTCCAAAATGTGGTTTTCTGCTGCTTGGGAAAAGGCTATTCAAGGAAATGCATCCCCTTAGCTGAGCAGGCAGGCCACAATGTCCTACTTATGCACTATAGAAACATCTTTTTTTTTTTTTTTTTTCTTGTTATTTGATGTTTTTCCTGTTCTTTCCTCTGTCCCTCTCCAGCTTCTTCCCTGTGCTTTGCCTCATTTTCCATCATCTGCCTGGCCATCTGTGTTTCCCTGTTCCGTTCCTTGTAGCTTCTCCAAAGCAGGCTAATGTTTCAGCAGCTTTTAAGTTTAATTCCCAAGCTCTGTGCCTTTCCCATGCGTCCCAACCAGGACAACGCAACCCTTCAGGCAGTCATCTTTGGATTGCAGTCCCCGGCATGGGTATTTCTGAAGGGAAACCTAAAAAAAGTCTCTAAACTGCTCTCCTGACTTCAGAATAGCTCTATTTTAGGACAAGTACCATGAAGGTGACTTTCATGGTCATCTGTCTTGGATATTAACTTGGACTCTGCGTCGCTGTAGGATCTAATTATCCTGGTATTTCCACGCGAGCAGTGTGGGCTATACTGGTTGTCTCTTAACATGTCGTATGTAAAGAATAGACCCAGGCAGCGGAGGAATAAACTCCCTCCTTATTTGCCATGTGTTTTCCTGAAAGTGCTTTGTCCCAAGCAAATCCCAAGTCAAGGCTGGGGTCCTCCAAGCTCATCCACTTACTGAGTGCTGAGAGCACCTGCCCTTCACAGGGTGTCTCCTGCCTTGGGCATCCTTGAAACTAGCCCAGTGATGGGAAGATCAAGGCAAGGAAATGCAGGAGCCTGTTGGGGCAGTAGGAATGAGACCCTGAGAGCTTCTTGTGGCCTCAAGATGAATTAATTCCTGTGCGTGAGTGCTCGTTGGCTTTGAGCCTTCATTTGTCCAGGCTACAAACTCATCGAGGTCCCCACATGACACCAGGAGGTCCTGCTATGCCAGGTCCTTTGCCTAGGGAGAGCAAACAGGGAATAAACTTGGATTTTCCCCTTCAGCAGAGGTGGCACAACGGGTGCTGGTTGCATTTCACCGACTGACCCTGTTGTTCTTTTCCCCTCAACAGAAAATGAGTTTCGGGGCGAGCTGCTGAGCCAGCGCTGGACGTGCGGGGACAAGATCAGCAGCTGCGCGGGAGCCCCCAGCCTACGCGGCGCACGCGGCAAGGTGAGCGCGGGACCCAGGACCTCCTGTCGCCAACACGGGTCCCCCCTGCTCCCATCGGCCGCTGGTACAGGGCTCTGGCCCTTGGGGACAAGGAGGTCCCCAGGGAGCCTTTCCGCTCCCCAGAGCAGTTGGCCCCCAACCAAGAACGGGGAGTCGCTGGCCCCTTGTTGATGCATAAATCAGAGCTGGGCTTTCAGCTGCCCCGACTTGGCTTTGGGGCCAGTTTTTTAAATCCTCCCGTTCCTCTCAGGTCCCATCCTTCAAGGATTGCTCGGAGTTGGGTATTTAGGTCAATCTGAGGCCTCTTAAATAGGGGGAAAAAAGGAGCCTTTCTCTCCAGCGCCGGCTGATCGGAAGAAGACCCTCGTCCGCCAGGTGAAGCGTTAATGGCTCCGGAGGGGACAAGCGAGTCATTCATCCTCGCAGGGAGAGGCGGCAGCTCCCGGTCCCAACAGAGCCGCTCAGTCCCCGCTGCAGCTGGGCTCTGGGAAAGGCTCCAGCCCCACTGTCAGCAGCGAGGAAGCTTTAGTTAAGCAGAGAACTGGGTGTCTTGTTGCACAAATGATGCTTTCTTGCCCCATTTTGGCCTCTCGGGAATGAGGTGCCAACCTAGGACCCGATGGGTCCAGCTGCGCTGTGCAGAGCTGTGTGCGAGTGACCCATGATACCTTCCTATGTCCTCAGATAGACTGAGCTCTGGGAAAAGCAAACCTTGGCAAAAATCCACTGCCTTTGCTGAGCAGGTGTCGCTGGGATAGCTCGCACCTCCGCAGAAAGCAGAGTAAGCGCTTGCCGCTATATTTAACACGAGCTCAATTAAGAGTTTTCTATTGAACCTGCCAAATAAGCACTTAGATTAGCTTTAATAAGACTGGTGTGTGTTAACAAAAAGCAATGCATATGAAAGGTAATGTCCCTCTTCCCTGGCGCTCAGCTGGCGCTGGGCCTTTTCCCGGAGCCTGGGGGTGCTTGGGAAGCCGGGGTGCTCAGGGGACACAGGGGTCCCATCCTGCACATCTCCAGCCTCCAGGCTGAGCCCGTCACGAGTGGCCCGGCTGAGCATCCGCTGGACGCGCAGCAGCAAAGGGCGCTCGGATGCGGGACATCCGTGTATTTGTGCCCGGAAAAAATGAAAATGGCAGTTTATTCCAGAGCTCCAAATAACGGGTTTGGGGGAAAAGCTACAGGTTTTTATCCTCCTTTCTGGGAACGGGTGAGCTGTTTGCATGAACTGAGCCGCTCCGGTCTCCTGGCGCCGGGAAGGGTGTTGGGGTTGCGTGCGGTTGTGCTTGCAAAGAGGCAAGAGGAAAGTCCGTGTCAGCTTCAACTACGGCAGCTGGAATCAGCCCTGCCTAATGGCTGGATGTCGGTGCCAAGGCGGGAGCTGCAGCTGTGTCAGGATGCTCAGGAGCATCTTTTCTGGTCCGCTTCACCGGTGCGGAGGATCCCTCCGTTCCTGCCGCAGAGCATCAACGTGTGGGAAATGTTTCATTTGCAACTGTGGTTTTTTGTTTTTTTCTTTTTTTCCTTTGAGGGGGTGGGAGTTGGACACTTTTTTGCATTTGCAAATGCGAACTGACAGTGCAGCTTCGTTAGGATGTTTCTGACACAGCTGTAATTCTGGGTTTGAGGGCTGGTACAAGCTGTGCTTTTGCACATAAGGATGTCAAGGCAAAATCCTCCACAAATGCCAAGCGGGCGAATGCCACACAGGACGTCCTCCCTTGGAAGTCGGGCAAGAGCAAAAGGCAGATGCAGGTTTATTCAGCTGCGAAAGGGGGCTCGCAATAGGTGGAATGTCAGGAGGATTTAAATCAAGCATCAGAAAAGACCCTAAAGGAGGAAGGGAGGAAAAGACTCCAGAGGAGCCGGTGCTTGGCAAGGGAGGCTCATCCTGGCTGGAATGAGGCATCGGAGGAAGAAGGAGGGATCTCTCCCCAGGGCATTTAGCTGTCAGTGCCACCAGCGAACAGCCGGGTCCCTTCCCCACCACCTGCGAGTGAAGGTCGGGCCTAAGGATGCCCCGTTTCTGCCCCACAGAAGGGGAAGGCGCCTGCGGCGATGCCTGCTCTGAATGAGGCACTTGCAGGAACTCTGACCCACCAAGGCAGCGGCGGGCCAATTCCCTGGGAAAACTGTCAGGAAAATGAGGAAAACCTCTGGATTTGTTTTGCTTGCACGCGTGCTCCTCACAGCGAAGCGCGGTGAAAGGCGGTAGCTCGCACCAAGCGCGCGCCGGCTTGGGAAGGCGCCTCAATGTAATGAAGTCCCTTTGGCACCTGCTCCTTGCTGCGCTTTAGCCATTGGCCTGCAGGGAGCTGGGGCTTTAAAAATAGAAATTATAGTAATTGTGTGTGAGCTCGCGGGAAGGCGGCAATAAACGCGGAGCGTGCGGCACGGAGCCCCTGGGATGTGCACAGAGCTCCCTCCTCACTAATTGCATAAGTCACTGAGGGTCCGTACGGTGGTTCCAGAGTGGGATAGCAGTGTTTTGAGGAAATTTCACTCCCTGCTTTGGTGCGTTTCTGTGCTTTCCACTGGGACCTTCTCTCCGTGTTGCTTCCTGCAAAATTGCTTCCTCCTGGATGTCGTTCCCAAAAGCCCACTGGGAGAAGCCCAAATGGAGCAGGGCTGTGGGTTTCTTCCCAGCAGGCAGCTGCAAAGCATCCATGGAGCTGAGTTCCTGCCAGCAGGGAGACCTACGCCCATCGGGATGAACTCAGAGAAATGGGTTCTTGTTTGCAAGAGACATCGTGGCATGAGGTGGCTCTCACCAGTCACCGCCAGCCACCTCTTGGGGCATGGGAAGTGGAGAGGAACTTAAAGTCCCTAAATATGGGCATTTGAAAGCAAATCAGGGCTTGTGCCTCCAAAACGAGTATCTTTGGTCTGAGCAATCAAAGCAACCCTAGAAACTCCATCCCGAGCAGAAGGAAGTTCCCCTGCAGCCCTGTTTGCACAGGGCTACTTTGCTCACCACGCATGGGGTTTTCCTTTAATGGCGAGTTCCCTGTGATCTTTTAGTAATTACCTTTTCTTCCTACTGCAGATGAGTTTAGAAAATGATGATAAGCGAGCACGCACGCGATCCAAGTCCATCCGAGGTGAGCAGCCGGACAGCGGGATGCGGGAGCCACGGGCTTTGCTGCTTCCAAACGGGCTGTGTTGTCAGGCCCCAGGGTGGCACATTTCCAAGTTAGACCCCTTCCTCTCCAACCCCACCGACACTTGTCCACAAGCCTGGAAAAAAATCCCAATCCCTTTACAGCTCCTCCTAGCACATAACGCACCCATTAGAAGGAGCGCACATTGGAGATGTGAACAGGGCCTGGGCACGGCAGGGACATGAGGCCAAATGACTTGTTAATCCAAAGCTTTATTGCTATTTCTTTTCTAGCTTAACAAAAAAAGCAATGTTTGCAGGTATTCTGCAACTTTATCCATGCAGCTGCACCACGCTGCCTTGCTCTGTCTTGAGCCACCCTTGTCCTTGCTCTTTTCTGCATATGCACATTAAAAACAAAATGCAGATGCAGGCAATTGTGCTGAACCAAGAGGGATTCTGAAGGGTTTGTTGGTTTGTAGCACATATAGAAAACGCTCACTACGGTTGCCAATGAGAACATCCTGATCATATCTCTTTTCCTGCACCCTGCCTTTGCCATGCTTAAATGTGGAGCTCTTGATGTAAAAAAGTAATTTATTGAACCCATCCTGGCCTTGCCGCCGTTTCCAGGTTGCTGGAGCTTGTGAGTCACCCCCAGGGAGCCACATCCTGGGAAACCCAATTAGCTCCAGCAAACTGAGCAACGTGGTGTGGTTTTTAGGCTGGGCAAACGTAGATTGTGCTGCGGCTTTTCTCCCTATAGCTGTTTGGATTCCTGGCTTGGACATAAACTTCTGTGCCATGTGCCATTCCTATATGGAGTGGGATACTGCCATATTCGCAGGAGGGGAGCAATCCCTAAAAATCTGCAGACCCATTGCTCAGAGGAGCTGGCAGGGCAGATTTGCCTTTTCTTCCCCCAAAGGGATGCTCAAAAGGCAATAGCCGATGAGGAGGGGGGGACATTCCCATCGTGTGCATGGGGTGGGCAGGACAGGGGCGTCTCTGCCGGGATTTTGACCTTGTGCTTGTTTCTGTCCCTCGGCTCAGTGCCCACCGAGCTCATCGGCCAGGAGGTGAGGTAAGGAAGGGCCCCGGGGAAGGGCGAGATGCAGGGAGCTCGGAACGGGCAGCATCGGGATCCCTGTTTTGGAGGGCTCCCTCCGACGGTGCTGCTTCTCCGACTTTTATTGCGGAGCACGCGCGCAGAGGTGGTAATTGGAGCAGGTGACATATAGAAGGGGCAGGACGGAGCGCGCCACAAAGCCACCACCGCAGCTGTCACCTAATTGCCTGATTAACTGGACGATTAATCGACTAATTGGAAGCGGGGCACGCTCTGCATGCCAATAAGAGGAGGCATTGTGGCGCGCCGGAGCAGGTTAGCGCCTGGCCACGGGCAGGGAGGGCGGCTGGATCACTGGGAAGCCCCTCTCCCCTTTAGGAATTCCTGCCTACATGCTGGAAATGTCCCCAAAGGGGAGCTGGTGACAGGGGGCAGTGATGGAGCATCCCAATTTCTGCAGCTGGCGTTTTTTCACAGGCCCTAAATTGAGGTTCTGGAACCAAATATCCCACATCCCTCCTGAAAATCTGGATATTGAACTACCTTGGCTCCTATTTATTTATTTTTTTACTGCAGGCTTGATTTTAGCACATTAAAAATGTGAGGGCTGGGAGGGATGTCAGTTTTAATTGATTCAGCAGAGTTTATAAAAGCCCGTAACGTTTCCATCAGAGCTGCTCTTGTTTCCCACTGAATAAGGCCTTTCTGGGGACAAGTCGCTGGTAGCACAAATGCGTCTCTGTCCTCTTGCCCACGGTCACTTACCATGTGTCTGGGGCTGCTCAGGACAGAGCAGCCTTGGTTGCAGATGATTAAAGTTAAATAAACTTAAAGATGATCAACAGAGGGAATGGGGAAGGGGGGAGCCCCTTTTCCATGGTGAGAGCCCCCCTTGCTCCACTGGCAGGTCCACAGCCCCTTTTTGTCCTAGTTTCGGGTTGAATTATCTCCCTTGATGGTGTTTTGGGCTATCAAGACATTAATAACCCTCTGGTACTGCTGGAGCTGTGGGATCCCTTCCCATGCGACTCCTGGATTTCTCTGAGGACACCCAAGTCACTTGGGCATCCCCTGCTCCAACTGCTCTTTGTTTTGCCAGAAAGAGGTTGCTTTAGGGTTTCTTGGGAGCCCCGGAGCTGGGGTGGGTTATCCCCGTAGGACCCACAGTGCCGTGTTGAGGGATGGAGCAGAGCCCCTAGGAAACGCGGGGATTTGGGAACCCTGGTTGTCTCCATCCCATCCATTTCCCCAGAAGCAAGGCTCCCAAAAGGGTTTGCATCCCGGTGAGCTTCACCCTCAGCAATCCATTCCCAAACCATTCCTTTCAACAAGCCACCCGGTTTCTAGTTCCAGAAATCCCTTTTCCTAACAAGCCATCAAAAGAATGAAAAGCCCAGGTTTTCTTCCTACACCAGCAACAAAAAAAAAAAGACAAAAAAAAGAAGGCTGGAGAGTGGCAGCAGGGAGGAAGAGTGCAGTAGTTGTCTGGTTTTTAAAAGCTTGCTCTTACACATGCAAATCTTTAATTAAACATACTCATAAAACTATAATGAACCATTCATCTAATTAAATGGGGTGAGCCATTTCATTAATTTTTAGCAAACTGCAAAGCTGCTCTCCTGCCCTCCTCACTTGGAATTCAAAGGGACAAACTGAACCATTTCGGGGAAATTATTTCCCTTTTGCAGTTATTTCTGCTCCTCCTGCACAGGACATGTTTAACTGACTGTAGTTTATGCACTTTTAATGATAAATGAAGTCTCCAAATATTATTTGCTCTTGATGGTTGCTCTTCTCTCTCCAGCTGTCCAACTCCAGGGTGCAATGGCTCCGGACACATCCGTGGGAAGTATGCGAGGCACAGGAGGTAAGAATGGGTCTGGATATGGGCTCCAAGGTGTGGGGATGGAAAAAGCATTAGCCAAGCCTCAAACTTCAGGCCAGCACTAACCAATATATTTTTTTAATCGCATCCCATAATGGTGCAATCTAAGTAGCTGGTGCCAATGGATAAATGTGTCTCAGACTGGTTCTGCATCCCCTGACTGGTCTAGGGGGTAGCACTGGTGTCCATCGATGCTGCAGTGCTGGAAGCTGCTTCTTCTACTCTTCTAAGTCCTGTTGGACCAAACTGCTCGAGCAAGTTTGTCAGACACACTGTAATTTCCGAGAAAAATCAGCATCAGCATCTGTGCAAAGTTAAGGTCTTGCATCAAGTTTTCTGGCTGTGATGAGCTAAAGCAGCTAGAAATCAGGGCCACTGCACACTTTTCTTAATATTTGCATTATTGGTCCCACTTGCCTTTTCCAAACTGCTTGAGATGCTTGAGACAGGTGTTTTCACCAGGCAATGTCTCCTCTCTGCTCCGTGCTCCCATCTACAGCTTGCAAAGCTGCCCGCTAGCAAAGAAGAGGAAGCTCCAGGATGCAGAGGCTGAACATCTGGTGTCGAAGCGCAAATCCCATCCGCTCAAGCTGGCCTTGGACGAAGGCTACAACGTTGACAGCGACGGCAGCGAGGAGACGGAGGCCAAGGAGGAGTCCGGCTCGGACGAGTCGGAGGGGATCCTGGAGGAGGAAGAGGCAGAGGCGGTGGAGCAGGAGGAGACCCGGAGCCCTGAGCCGGCAGAAGGTGCTTAATTGCCATTGATTGCAGCGCCGTATCCTGCAGACGGGCAAAGGGCAGGGGGTGGTAACAACCAGGAGTTGGTGCTCCTCGGAATTACATGTTGGGTAGGTGCTTTGGTTATGGTGTTCAGCGGGAGCACAACGGAGCAGCTCTAAAGTGGGATGTTCCCAGATCACCTCCAATGGCTTAAAAATGAGAAAAAATCCATCAGTGATGCACCTTGGGTGCAGGAAGCAAGATAGGAAGGTCCTGCACTGGTGCCCAAGGTGGAACCTAGCTGGATCCTCCAGATGCAGGAACAGAGATATTTATGAGCTCATATAATTTCTTTTCCTTCCCTACCCTTATTTCTTTATTTATTTGATTTTAATTTTCCTTCTTTCCTTCCTCCCACCCCAGAGAGAAGCCCAGGAAAACCAGCCCATTATGGACAAAATGCGGGAACGAGTGCGTCTGGGCCCAGCAAGGCCAACTACAGCAGCTACCAGGAAATCATCGCCAACTCCCTCCTAAACCTAGGCCAAATCGCGGAGGAGACCCTGGCCATCGAGGGGCAGCTGCCCGACGCGGAGCTGCAGGCCTCCAAGCCGCCGTCTGCCGTTGTGCATCTGGTCCACGAGGACACGGGCGAGGAGCTAACGGAGGAGGGGGGCAAGGACATCATCATCCAGACGGAGGATGCGGAGGAGGTCATCGAGGTGACCAGCGAACGCAGCAGCGAGCCGTGCGCGGAGCACCGGGACGACACGAGCTGTGAGGAGGCCTGCAAGCTGCAGAAGGACATGGGGGCCGAAGTGGAGGAGGAGGAGGAAGAAGAGGAGGACGAGGAGGAGGAGGATGAAGATGAGGAGGATGAGGAAGAAGAGGAGGAGGAGGATGACGACGAAGAGGAAGAGGAGGACGACGAAGAGGAGGAGATGGCTCCCGAAGTGATCTGCGACGAGGCTCCTCACGCTTCTCAGGACGCCCAGAAAAGCCACTGCGAAGGGCAGTTCAGCCCGAAGCCCGAGTACTCGGTCATCGTGGAGGTGCGCTCGGACGACGACAAGGACGACGACGCGCGCTCCCAGAAGTCGGCGGTGACCGACGAGTCGGAGATGTACGACATGATGACGCGGGGCAACCTGGGGCTGCTGGAACAAGCCATCGCGCTCAAGGCGGCGCAGGTGAAGGTCGTGCGGGAGCCCGGCCGCCTGCCCGGGGAGCACGTGAAGCACTTCCAGGTGGACGAGAAGCAGAACAAGCCGCTGGACAGCATCCGCAAGAGCTACTATGGCAAAGGTGGGCACAGGGATGGGCTTC